TTTCATGATCACATATTTCCGTTCAATATTTAGCTCTCAATATGGTAGGTGAGGGTGGATAGACTTCCTCAAACTTTAAAGTATAACTTCGTACCAAGGCTCAGTACTACCTTCCTCATCACACAAACTGACTTAGTGCACTCGCTGAGGCATTCGCCTCACCAATCTATGCGTCTATTTTACGTCTTGCTTATCATCGTGAGGAATGTTATACTAAATGCTTAGACTTCTCTGCTTGCTCTATTTGCAGTACAGCTATGCTTCTCGAGGGTACAAAAGCCTTAGTCTTATATGGGCTGATTTTCACTTTATCTCATCGATGCAGAAGCAAAGCGACCAAGACCTCACGGGACGAATCAAACATGAAGCGATCATCAGCAAACGATGAATAACCGAATTTAACCTCTTCAACTTTGGCTGCTTAGGTATCTTCTTCTTTAATTACGTCTTATTAAGATTTTATTACTGAAACTCTACTTTGATGATGCTAATCTTTGCACATAATCCACTGTGTCACATCACTGTTATCATTATTATTTTCTTTGCCAATCATCTCATATATTAGCGGGATGACTTTTCAGGCAATGGATTCTGATATGAAAAAAGACCTTGAAGAAGAGAAGGATGTTTTGTCTAACGAGAACGCACCATATTCCGTCGTTATTCCAAACAGAATTTTCGTAACAGGATTTTCTGTAAAGGCAAGTAGCATGAAACTATATGTTTTATACTACTACTTTGATCCCAATTATAAGCCATCGCACAAGAAAAATCGTATAGTTATTGTTCTTACTTTATGCACTTGCAAGCCAACAGGTCAAGTGTTTTTTTTTTGTGTGAAAATACAATCACAGAGAAAGTTTAATTGCAAAAGTGTTTCTACAAATGTCAAAATTTTGCCAAAATTAAATATGAGATTGTTCACGTGTGTGATTAAGAAATACAAAATGCAGAGTTTTTATGGGTTGCACCTTATGCTGATTTCCTGTCAGTAGTCAGGTGAATCAAGATTGATTGTAG